GCGGTCCGGACGCCCAGGTGAGGTTCGGAGGGACCGATGCGACCCGGGAGCGGGAGGGGAGCGGCCCGGGAAGAAAAGGGCGCTCGGCTGAACGGGAGCGGGAGGGAGAGGCTGGTGCCGAGGGCCTCACTCACCGGGAAGCAGCTCGCTACGGAAGCCGGGGAGGGGCCATGGCATGAGAGGGCGGGGAGGGGCGAGGCCTAGGATAGCGCATGCGCAGGGTTGGGGCGAGCAGCGCAGGCGCTCTGGCGCTACCGAGGTTGCGCCCCCTGGAGGGAGTCTGGGCAGGAGGTGCGTGCGCAGTGCCGGCAGCCCCACGGCTTTCCCACCCCCCCCTTCCTAAGATGGCGGGAGCCTCAGGCTGGAGGGGGGGGGTGGCGGTTGGGGGGGCGGGCAGCGCCCCGGCCTGCCGCCCTCCTCTGTGTCTACCTCAGCCCATTTAAAATAAAAATCCTGCAGCTCTACTGAGGAATCCGCCAGGTTTGCGAGCCCCGGTCGGCGTCATTTCAGCGCAAACCAGCATCTCCCTTCCCTCACGAACGGGGAGCTGGGCCTGCCCAGGTCTGTTGAGGAAGGTGTTGCTGGACGTATCATAGCCGCAGGAAAGGTTTCTTTTATCCAGGCGTTTTCCTTCATGGTGCGTAAGCTGCCAGCTGCTGCAGGGTGCTGTGCTGTTTTGTATTACATGCAGTAAATGGAACAACCTTCAGCTTAACTACAAATGAAGACGCAACTCCTAGTTGTGACGGCCTTTTAAAAAAAACATTTTCTCCACTAAGTCCTTGAGTGCTTCCCAAAGGTGCTGTCTGCATAGCCTAAAGAGTCTGCAGAAGTGTATTAAATAGGTAGGATAATAGAAATTTATTAAATGGGCAGGATAATTGGGAAGTGCTGATAAGTGGTTTGGAGGAGTGGCAAGTGCTGTCACTTGCAAGTGCAATGTGGCATCTTTTTTAGTATTGGGGAGGTATGTGACAAGCTCTTAAGTGTTCCACCATGACAAACGTACAGCCAATACCTCTTAAAAACAAGGCTGAGAAAAGGGTACGCAGGAGGCAACTGGGCTTGTGCTGTACAGGCAGACAGATGCTCAATCACTGCCGGTTTAGGTCAAACACATTGTTTTAAAAGCAAAAGCACATCTGGAGTGATGCAGAGAGCAGTTGCTGCAAAGTAGGCACAGCGTGGCTTTGTGCAGGATGCGGTGCTAGAACTGGGAGTCCTGAAGGCTTCCAGGTTTTATGAGGCAGCAGGACTTTTTATGTGTTTGAGCTCCTGGAAACAAGGCAAAAAAGGGGGGAAAAAAAAAATAAAGTTTTTTATGACCGTAGGGAATGGGAAAAGTGCCAGGCAGCTCGAAGCCAGTGAATTTAGGCCAATGTCCTGTGCCAGGTTATTTTTATTCACGCTCTGATCCTCCGGCTGAATTCCCAGGCCCCCTCGTCCGAGGGGGTCAGAGCGTGGGTTACCTTCAGTTTCTGGGTGCCACCGCGTGGTGCGACAGCTAACTGCACCCGTCCCCACCACGGGCACAGGCAGCCTCTCCCACGCACGCAGGGCAGCCTTGAACTACCAGCACTTTGAGGCTGCGGAGCCATGGAGCAGGAGCGGCAGCCCAGCGCTGCGCTCCCTGGCTCTTCCTGGACCTCACTGCCTTCGTCTGCCGTCAGATACTTGCGTGGTCGCTGGCTTTGTGCCCTGGGAAACTCTGAGACGCCCTTCCTACCTCCACTTTGCTCTCTTTTTGTTCTTCCAGGCTGGGACGGGGTGAAATGGCAGCCTCTTCCTCATCCTCTTCAGCTGGCGGAGTCAGCGGCAGCTCTGTAACAGGATCGGGGTTCAGTGTTTCGGACCTGCCATCGCCCCGAAAAGCCCTCTTCACTTACCCCAAAGGAGCTGGGGAGGTGCTGGAAGGTGATTGCTCCTGCCCTTCTCTTTCCCCCCTCCTCCTGGTGCGCAGGCAGCCCTGCAAGGGAGTTGCCGAGCTTGGCACCCCGCTGCCTTTTCAGACTTCAGCTGGCAAAAGCTGGAGGGAGGAAGGAAGCACCAGAGCTCGGGTAGGTCCCAAGCAGCCCTGGCTCTCCCACCAGTTGTTCATGAGGAAGTAATTTTTCTGGCCGTCACCTGTTTTTAGCTCCTTGACAACAGACGAGGAAGGGATCTACCTGAAAGGGAACATGACAGTGTTAATTGCTCATTGTTAGCTAATCCTTTGATGTCGGGCAGGAATTACTGTAAAGATAGCTGAGGCAAGAGTGGGGTTTTTTGGCAGAATGCATTCTGGGGTTGGATTTGACAACTGGGCTAGTACAGAAGGCACCTTGTATCCCTGCTGGCCAGGAAACGTAAGGCTTGCTTAAGTTAAAATGTCGCTGTAGAGGTCTGCGAGAGGATAAATCGGGACCAGACCTGTCTTTTAATCCTTTGAGGCTGAGCACGTTACCCTTTTGGGCTCGCTTTTGTTGGGCATTTCTCCAGGGCCGCCTGCAGAGGGTCAGAGCAGCGCAGCGTCTTGCATTTGGGTGCCCAAGCCCTGCCACCCGCTTCGTCAGGGTTGCCTGAAGGAGGACCCAGATGCGTCACAGCTGCACGTCCCTGCCTCTGCTCTGGGTGAGGGAGGAAGGGCAGGTCCTCCAGATGACGGGGTTAAGCAAGGGTCGGTTGGTCTGTCTGTCTATGTGCTCCCCTTGAACTTCCCATGTCACCGTGCTGCACGCTTGACTGCAGGAACCTGAAGTTTGTTGGGGTGGCTGGGACCGAGGCTCGGGTGGCCCTGCAGCTCAGAAGGGATACAGCAGCGCAGGGCAGCCAGGAACTGATTGCTATGTCATATAAGGACTGGTTTTATTACACATTAGAGCCCGTATGCCAGTCTATTGAAGTAATTATGACTAAAGGCTTTCTCATAGAACTTAACGAGCCCTCAAAACAAATTAAAATAATGAAGGACTTCATGTTACCAAATAGGCAGTTGTGCCTCCTGAGAGGCACTCGGCAGGACAGCCAGGTTGGGGAGTTGGAGGAGAGGGAAGGATATGTGGAAATAGCATGGGGCAGCACCAATGCAGCACTTCAACAGCTTGTGATGAGATGCTCTGAGCATGGCAGAACTCCAGCTCTTCCCTCTTACCAGCTTTAGATTGGATTTTTCAGGGCCAGGGGTGTGTTTCTGTCCTTAGTCTTTGAAATTGCTTCTCTCGTTTTTATGGCACAGAGATCTTAATTGATGTTGCTTTGCACTGACCTCTTTACCAGTAACACGGCACTTCATCTGCTCTGAGTGGCAGCTGCAACTAAACACTCTCCCTGTCGCAGGAAGCTTTAGGTTAGCTTTTTGATTTCTGAAATAAAAGGTGATACACCCGTTCTTTCATCAGGCAGGTACTAGTGGGGTAGCTGCATACCAATTTCCTCTTCAAAAATCCCCACTAACTGACTGATTTTTATTGTTACTTTATCTGTCTTACTTGTTTTTAAATAAACTCTTAGGTATGTGGGGTTTTTTTAGAAGGAAGTAGCATAAACTGTGTCAGTACTTGGCACACAATTGCCTGTGTATTCCAGATTGCTTTATTTCGGAGACAGGTGTGTGATCAATTACTGACTCTGATGGCAAGATACACATTATTTGAAATCCTTTATGCGGGATTATGGTCTAAGTCTGTGGGAAATCACAAAGCATTATAAGGACACAAGTGTCAGAGCCCCGAGGGAATTGGAGACTGCCATAATATTAGCTGGCTTCTCCTTCGCTTACCTTCTATTTAAAATGGACTAACATCGTTTGACGGGGGATGTAACAGACTGTCAGCCAGGATGTCTCCCGGGTAGCACAGCCGTTCCCCAACGGCACCTGGAGCCGGCCAAAGCCCTGCGCAGGGTTTGGGCACAGGGTCGCACAGGCCAGAAGCCAGAGCGCTGCACACTCAGCGGAGGGGAAAGCATCGGAACGAGGCAAGTGGGGAAACCCACAACCCGACCATAAAAATAGAAGGTTGGCGGCACTCGCTTAAGGCTGCTCAGTCTTAAAACTCTCAGATTAAACCTCCTTTTTTGTGTTTACAGATGGCTCCGAAAGATTCCTTTGTGAATCTGTCTTCAGCTATCAGGTTGCGTCTACATTAAAGCAAGTGAAACACGGTAAGCACTGAAGCGCCGTCTATTTTAACTGCATGTTGATCGGGGAAGATGTCAGGGGAGTGCGGAGAAAAGGCTGACATGTTCCTGGGTGCCAACCACAAAAAAGCAGAATGGCCTTTTTAAGTTGGCGAATGAACGCTAAGTCAGATCATCATCGAGTCCTTTTGCAAGCCCTATGCAAAGCGACGGGAACCCACACAGCCTGGGTGGGAACAGGCTGTGCCTTTCAAAGCTTGTTTTTCCATCGCTGTGTGCCGCGCTGCCTTCACAAGAGGTGAGGCCAGAAGAGGAGGTTATGGGCAGGAAACGCCCACGCTCTGATCTTGGCCTAGCGCTGACTGGCCTCGGGCGGAGACACTCGATTCCACCTTTGTTTCTGTGCTGAGCCTTCATGACACCAGCAGGGTCAAGCGAGGTTTCCAAAGGTGCTCGGGAGAGGGACATGCAGGTGCCTGGCGTGGCATGACAGGGCTGACTCCACTCCCTGCCTCCCCAGGAAAGAGCCTTACATCTTGTTTGAACTTCTGCTTCCCTCTTGGGGCCGTCGCCCGCCGCCCAGGTGCCTCTAACTGAACGATGGGCTTGACTGCACGGCAGCTTTCGTTCTCAAGACTTTGGGCAGAGCTCAGCACCAGACTGCGTGTGCTGCTCAAGGGTCACATCCTTTCTGGTCCCCGCCTCTTGTCAGCTAGAATGGGTACTTCCACGTGTTGTCTCAGACCGGAGAGGTTTCCTGTCCTCTGCTGGCGAGGGTTGTCAGGAGGAGGTCTGGGGCGTGCAGCAGCGTGCAAGGCCATGATGCTGTATTGCTGAACCAAAAAGCAAAGCTGACCTTCGGAGCCATTGTTTCCATGGGTCCAGCACTACTGCAGCTGTATCTACCAGGGGCTGCTGCACAGACTGGCACCCTGATAAGCCTTTGAAACTGGTTTGTGGAGCACTGGTTGCCTCCCCATAAGAAAGGGGAAAGTCTTAAAAAAAGATCGAGGTCATCATTTTTTTGGCTTGTTTGTTTGACAGTTCCCAAAAGCACTCACTTGGAGGAGGTGGAGTGAGAACAGTCCCTCTTAAAAGCATCCACTGCTGCAGTCAGCATAAATCATGCACATTTCGTGTTCTGCCTCTTGCTAGTAAGTTGGCTCGTACTGGGCCATTTTTCCAAGAGGTCGCTGTGCTGTTAAACTTCCAGCAGAGCCAGGAGAAGAAGGGCTGTTCTCATCTCCATACCACTGCAGGTAATTTAATTGAAAATGGAGCCCGTGTGCCCAACACGCAACCGGTTTTAAATAAAGCTGAGAGGAACGAGTTGTCCTGAGGATCCGCAGGGAGGCAGCCTGTCTCTCCGCTGGGACCTTTGTGTCATTGGCGTGCTCTGGTTGCAGAGCCTTTCTGCTACAGTAGTCCAGGTCCTCCTCAAAGGACCTTCGTTAGGGCTGTTCCTTGCGCTGCACCCAGCTCTACTGTGGGCTGACCAAGCTTTCTGTGAACTTCTCTGTTCTTTTGCACTATAAATATTTATGCTAAAGAAATGAGCTTCATCCGGTTTTCACCCCCGTATGCTAATCAGCCTCGTGTTTCCCTGTTACGACTTGAATTTACACGGCACAGGCAGGGATGGGTAAATACACATCCAGTGCCAGAGAAGGCAGAAAAGCCTGTCTCTGCGTTCTGCTGTGATCTGGCGAGGTCTCGCCGTTGGCATAAAAAAGAGTGGGTTTGTATTCAAGTTGGCTCGGTGGGTTTTATTCTACTCTATTCCCCATTGACAGCGGGGAATTTACATCTAATTGAAAGGTTTAATTGCGCTGTCATTGCAAACCGCAGTTACCTTTGAACTTCTCGCAGATCAGCAAGTCGCACGGATGGAAAAACTAGCCGGTCTGGTGGAAGAGCTGGAGGCAGATGAGTGGAGGTACAAGCCAATAGAGCAGCTCCTGGGATTCACTCCCTCCTCGGGCTGAGCATGTCTGGATCACTGCTGTCAAGGAGCAGAAGAAAAACATTCTCTGGCTTGGCTTCAAAACACACCCCCATTTATCAGGATGCTGACAGCTGCATCGGCAGGACTCGGCTTTTGTTTTTGGTGAGAGTGGGGATCCCCCATAAAGCTGCCAATAAATGGAAATGATGGGACTTTGCTCAGTCCTCTGCAGCGTTACAGGCTGGCAGGGCTCAGTTTCTGTAACTTAGAAGGTAGGATCAGTTTTACAGAACACGCAGAATCACCTTATTGTTTACAGAGGAGAGAAGGCTCACAGCATGGCAGCAGGGAAAGCAATCCAGTAACTCAGCCTGGCCTTTCCCTGGCGCGTGACCGAAGGGCCAGGGGAGCAGCGCGCTGGGAAGCCTGCATCTTCGCCACCCAGGCTGGGCCTCTGTAGAGCGGAGGTATGACGCCCTGCCAAAAACGCTCTCCAGCCCTAGCCGTTGGTTTGGGGGTGAACAGGATGAGAACTGTCCCGAGTCGGTTGAGAGGGCGCAAGCAGTGACACTTTTTCCGGAGGCGGCTCATGTATCGCCGTAGCTGTTTCCTCTCCACTGCTATTTCTCTTGTGTCTGCAGAGCAAGCACTGGTAGGGCACTGCTCGCTGATGCAGAAGCTGTATCTTTAAAATGCTGAAACTTTTTTTCCCCCCCTTATTATGCATTAGCTTGCTCTGATAATAAAATAATTCTGTCTTTGAGACCATTCAAAGCTTGGTGCAGGGGGTCTGATGAAAGAAACAATCAGCTGTTTGGTAGGTAACACGAGGTTTAGTGAAGCTCAGGGGCAGCTCGGCTGTTACGATGGTCAGCTTGAGTTCAGTTTAGAAAACCCTCTGAGAGGAACCAAACCACGCTTGCTTTACGCTCCAAAGTGGATTGATTTAGATCAGATTTTAATCCTGGTTTAACTGTGCCAGCAGAAAACCCTTATTTAAATCCATCCATTTTAATCATCTTGTTTTTTGTTTGTACTTCACTTCTGTTCTTGAGGGAAACTGGGTTTCCATTTTCTGTCATAACCATTTCAACGTGTTAATTTTCCGTTGATTAGAGCCTTAACACCACTTCTCTGCTACCCAGCAGGGAGATGAGCTCTGCACTGCATTTAAGCAATTGTACAACTGAATGCTCCAGATGCCTAATTCTTCCATTTTCAACATCTTATTTACGAGGTGATTTTATTTTTACTCACTATGTCAGTCCAGCTGCATCTGGATTGAGCAGATTCATTTGAATCCGTCACCATCTTACTTATATCACCAGCAATTTGTGTTGGCTAAAGCTAAGGGGGAACACTATGCAGACGTGCTCTGTGTTCACTTCTGTTTATGAACTAGTTCTAGTATCAGAGTCAGCTCTTTGTGATCCAGAGCCACATGCCGTCCAAGAGCCAGTCCCAATCTGCAGATGCAGTCCCAGTTCCAGCTCGCACCCATGGAAATTCACTCTACGGTTTCTGAAACCATGTACGGGCGTTCTCACATAAGGCTATGGCTCAGCTGAGACGTGTCCCACGCCTCCTCCCCTGTGCACGGCCCGGAAAACCTCCTCCCCAGCCCTGGAGGGCTGCCAGCCACTGCTGTGCGGGGGCCTCCTGCACAGTAAGCAGGTCCTCAGCCGGTACCGCTTTAAACGTGATGGCATTCCGTATTAAAACTCTATCCCAGGTGGGGTCATTCTGAAAAGAAGGGAGCGTTTCAATCGTCAACTTGTTTGTTTGGTTTCTATAATCTATTTTTAATCCTGCTTACTCCAGCCACCTAAACTTAACTTTGGCCAAACTTGCCAAAAACGCCCCTGTATCAAGACAGCAGTGTGGGGTTTAGGAATGGAGCCGTGTGCCTTGTGCTGATGACCACGCAGCAGCGCCCCGGCACCCCCTCGCTCGCACCATGTCCCACCCACTCACCAACCCTACGTGCTGCAGCTGGCGTCATCAGATGCAGAAAGAGCTTTTCCTTTTTACTGCTCAGCGTGAAACTTTTCCACTCCGCCAGCCCTCCGTGGACACGGGGGCTCAGCACCTGCAGCTCTGCCGCGGGCTGCCATGCCAGACATTGCCCAGATCCCCCCGAAGCACGGTGGGGCTGATTTGCCCGGGGCAGCTCCCCCACTTCGCCCCCCTCCCATTCCTTGTTTTGCAGCCGTTTGTAGGCAGCATGCTGGGCTCGTGGCTGGACAGAGCAGGAGCAGGGAACGTCCCCGGCTCCGTGCCGTACATGGCTTGTTTGTATGTGTGCCCAGCACCAAAATAGACACATGTGCGAGAGCCATTGAGAGGAAGTGAAAAGTTCACCCTGTACAGTACTACAAATGCAAAAACATGTTGTTGGCCGTTCTCTCCTCCTACTCAGTAAACATTTTATGTAAGGCAGCGAAAACCAGAGGGGTTGCTGCACAGTAAAATTAAAAAAAAAAAACGACCCTGTGCTCCCCCTCCTCCAAACACACATTTTCCCTGGCAGCTGGAAACTCCCCAGCTGCCCTATCCCTGCTTTGCAGAGCTGTGGGGCAGAGTCAGCCCAGGGGTTTTGAAGCACCGTTCCCGCTCACCTCCCGGGTCTCTGCAGCATTGCCGGGGGCTTGGTGAGGGGTTATTTGGAGGCTGCAGCTGGGAGCAGAGCAGCAGGGGGGAAGGGAGCCTGTCAGCTGCGAGCAAAAGTTGATGCGAGGAGGGAAAAATCAAAAAAAAAAAAAAAAAATTAAAAAAGCGCTGAACAAAGAGCCCCGTTCAGGGCTGCTGGTTGGTTTTCCTGTGGGTGCTCGCAGCAGAACGCTGTGTACCGGCATGCAAGCCCTGCTCGCGCCTCCCCTCCCTGGCTCCTCGGCCCCAGTGCCGGGGACGGTGCCAAGGCACGCGCTCGCCTTGCCGCCCGGCCAAAATACCCTCCCGGGGAGGGCCTCTCACCCCGCTGAGGATGTGGGAGTGCGGGGCAGCACCCCGGCAGCCCCCCTAAACCACCAGGGGCAAAAGCATCCAAGGGGAGATGAATTTAACGGCTCCCGCCCTGCCAACGGCACGGTGCCAAGCTGGCACTCGACACCTCAGCTGCCAAAACCCATCCACCGCCCTCCTCGGACCCACTTTCCTTGTTTCTCCACCCGACCCCCGCACGTCGCAGGCAGGCAGCCTGCCTGCAGCTGCTTGTCCCGGGGCTGAGAGACGGGCCCGAAAGGTTTGGCTACCTACCAGAGACCTGCCCGGCCAGCAGCACGCCGGGACCTGCTGCGGCATCCCACCCAGCCCGCAGCCTTCAGCTCGCCTGAGAGCTGGCCACCAGCTCGGCGTGGTGGCGGAGGATGGTACACCCTCATGTGCCCATTACCCCCTGCCACCACCAGGGACCTAGGACGAGGCCAGAGAGAGTGCAAAGGACACCTAGCCTGCAGACACTTCAGGAATACCCCAGAAAACCGCGGCCTTCCCTTCAGCTCAGCCCCTTTTGTTACATTCCGCACCTGAACACTTGGACACAGGATCACACCAGCCGCTGTGCCAAACCTGGCCAGCGACTGTGTGCTGAAATAGTCCGTAAATCTACCTAAAAGCGTTTTTTTGGGCCACGGAGCTGCTGGGAACCAACGTGAAGATGGGGACTGCACCACCCCATGGGGCAGGAATTTGCCTCTCGGCATACTGGGGCACGGTTTGCACCCGACGTGCACGGAGGCACTCACGGAGCCCCCAGCCTTGTATTTCTCCTCCCTTCCTCCTCCTCCTCCTTCCCCCCCCCAGCCCCCTCCCCCCTGCAGCTCTGCAAAACCGCTGAGCTCAGCACATCCCGGGCAGGGGCCCAGCCAGGACCCTCCCCAACACCAGCCACCCCTCTTAACGCTCCCACTTAACCCTTTGCAAAGCCAGCCAGGCTGGAAATCGCCGTGATTGAGCAAATCTCATCATGGGGGGTGCAGGGGGTCCCACAAGGCGCAGCCAACCAGGAATAGGCTGTCCAGAAAGTTTCTGCTCTCCCCAGAAAGGACGGCAGGGTGGGGGGGGGGGGGAGAAC